GGGAGCCTGTGTCCTGGGAGCGCTTGGTGGACACACGGCCACCTCCTCGGAGGCCAGACCCCAAGCGGGTCCCAGCACCACTGGTGTAAACCTAGAAAGCACAGAGGTCAGTTCTCAAACTTGTGGGTGCCTCTGCATTTAGGGATTTAACATTTGAGAATAACCTGAATGTGCACTGAAGGGTGGGACCGCCCCTTTCACGCTGAAGCCCCAGCCCCTCCCACCGGGCCAGGCGGGCAGGTGGTACTCACGCACTGACAGAGCTCACAGATGAGGAACGCCCCCAGGGTGGCCTCTTCGTGGTTGTCCTGGATGTCCACGTTGATCACGTGCACGGGCTGGCAAGTCTCTTGCTCCCTGGAATTCAGATCTGACCGCGACAAAATGACAGGAGTCAGAGGCCTCAGAAGCAGTTCCGCCCCACCCCACCCCCTGCCTGAGGGACAATGAAGGGCGACATCAGACCAGGCTGAGCACGTCCCCCCAGGAGAAGCCGCACACCAAGGACAGCAGGGACTCGAGGAAAGCTTGTACTGGTCACCCTCAACACCAGTCCCCAGTCTCACCCCAGACACTCCCCCTGTCCTGGAGAGAGCCCTCGGCAGCACGTCCCCCACACGCCCCGGCCCTGGCTGCTCCCTTCTGCATAAGCTCTTTCTGCGCCCAAGAACCCTAAACCCACACAGCGCCCTCAGCCAGCACGGGGGCTGCCTGATGAACACGGTCACCCAAAAGACACAGTCTCCTGCCCCCACCCCTCCCAGAGCCCATGGCTGGGAAATACAAGCCGTGTGCCCAGGATAGGCCAGCGGTCTTGGCCCCAGATTGTGACGGACACAGCAGGACGGGGGGATGGACACAGGAAAGGGGGATGGACGCAGAGGGATGGACACAGGACAGCAAGGACAGACACAGCAGGACGGGGGACAGACACAGGACCGAAGGGACAGACGCAGCAGGACGGGGATGGACAGAGGGACAGACACAGGACAGAAGGGATCGATGCAGCGGGACGGGGACAGACACACCAGGAT